TACATGTTGTTGTTGTGGTGGGCTTTAATTTCATACACATTTTAAACCCATAGGACATTATTACTGTTGTTTTACAGTCAGAATTATTTAGACTTTCCTTCATTTACCATCTCAATTCCTTCCTGCAATAACCACTAACATTTGGGTTCCTTCCCCTCTGCCTGGAGCATCCCGGACCAGGGATGGAGTTCACAACCCGGCATTTGCTTAGGAATGGAACCGGCAGCCTTTCGGTGCACTGGGTGATGACCAACCCGCTGAGCCACACGGCCAGGGCATCCAGTGGGATGCTCTGAGTTGTCTGCGGCCGCTGCTCAGGGTTCTGATTACACGTGAGGGAACCCACTGTCGTTAGTTTATGCAGGAGGGCTCTTACAGAGAGTGGGGAGCCACATACAGAGAGTGGGGAGCCACACTGCCTTCAGGGGAGCTGGGCCCAGTGGGCCGCTCACCCAGGCACAGCAGAAGACAGGTCTCCCCGGGAGGGGACAGCCCTGGGGGTTCACCTGCTGTTTGGTAGCCATGACACTGGGACAAGCTGGGACCTATGCCTGAGCTGCCCCTCAGGAACCACATGTCACCCCAACATGTCCTCACCTACAGCTATTTCCCATCGTGGACAGTGCATCCCCTTGGCAGAAGCTGGCTGAGCGGAAGCAGCTGGGGGAGGGAGGGCAGAGAGGGGGCTGGGCTCCTGGGAGCTGGGCTGGGGTAGGGTGGGGAGAGGGGGAGGGATGGCTGCAGTGGCGGGGCCTGTGGGAGGCCTGGGAGAGGAGCGGCCCTGCCTCAGCCAACATCTCTCCTGGGCAACCTGAGGCATCCAGAGTGGCCGTTCCCCCGGGCGCCTCCCTCTCGGGGCCTCTTTTCTTCCTTTGGGAGAAGGTCTCACAGCCTAAGGGACCCCAGACTCCGCTGAACAAGCAGGGCTCTGATCAACCATCTGAACAACATCCGCACCGTTTCTCCTTTCGGAAGATAGGGGGCAGCACCGGGTGGGGAGGCGTGGACTGAGCGGGAGCAGCCAGGGGACCGAGGGGCTGAGAGGCAGGAAGGTGTCCATCTACCCGACGGTGCTCTGCCCGAGGCCTCCCTCTGACCCGGCCTGCAGGGCCCTGGCATGGAGCTCGCTTCCCTTGAAAGAAAGTCCGCAGATGTCCTCTCCGGAGTCGACACATTTCCCACAAAAGTTTAAAAGTCGGGGGTTGCCGTAGCCGGTTTGGCTTGGTGGATAGAGCGTCGGCCTGCGGACTGAAAGGTCCCAGGTTCGATTCCGGTCAAGGGCATGTACCTGGGTTGCGGGCACATCCCCAGTAGGAGGTGTGCAGGAGGCAGCTGATCAATGTTGCTCTCTCATCGATGTTTCTAACTCTCTATCTAAAAAATCAATAAAAAAATATATTTTAAAAGTCGGGTGTGTGTGTGTGTGGGGGGGGGAGGGGGCGACTGTGTCTATGCTAACCAAAGAATTGACGGGAGACTCATCTAAATCACCTTATAACTTAGTGTCCGCACACGTTTTTGTTGCTAAATTATGAAATTTGATGATGCAAAAAGAAAGTCCTCCCTTACACAATAAGTCCGCCCTTAACCTTGTCAATAGGTTCTGCAACTTTGAAGCAACATAAATCAGAACCGATGTAACCACTGGCTACTTGATATAAAAAGATTAAGTTCCTAGCGACTCAGCAATCGTGCAAGTTCATGCTGGAGGACGACACTGAGGTCATCTTAAGCTGGAGTCTTGGACCTGCTGTGTAACGTGTGTCCGAAGACCTGCTGTGTAACGCGTGTGTCAGATGAGCCACAAAAATACACAAACACCCCTGAGCCCACCACCCAAACTGCGACATCGTCACGTGAGGTGAGCATGGGAATTCCCTGTGCAGACAAACCGTGTCAGCCAAACGCAACCTCTATTTCATCAACGCAAGTGCAACAGTTCAGGTTATTTCTGTGAATGCCTCTGAATGCCTCTGCCAGTCATAAAAGGAACTCAGCCACCTTCCTAAAATGGTACAAAGTCATCGCTCCTCACCCGTCCCCCGTGCCCGGAAACTCCCGCGTGTCACCCATTCCCACTAGTCACACTCCACGCCGTTCACCTGGTGCGTCATGCCGCTGAGGGTCCTGTCGGTTATGGGTTTGAAAGCTGGGTTTTGAGGGGCTGACACATTCTTCTTTCATTTGTTTGTCCAAACACTTACTGAGCATCATCTATGTCATCAACTGGGGCAGGTGCCTCGATAATAGCAATTTCAGTGGTAAGGACTGTAACAGCGGACATCGGTGGGGGCCTGAGACCTGTCAGGAGCATTGCCCGCAGCACCTAGCCCTCACCCTCCACCAGCAGTGCCCACTTCCCCACCCGGGGGCACCACAGACAACACTGTCACCTTCAGCTGGAGTCGTGGACCCTGAAAGGCTCGGATTTGGAACAGACCCTGACTTCCCAAACCCCAGCTGGGCCGTTCTCCTGCCAGGCCCACACCTGGCACCCCAGAGTGAACCTGGAGCTGTCGGGGTGGCGGCCTTCCTGCCCCCCATCCCCAAACCCCTCCCCTGGGGGCGCCGAGGGAGGCAGGGTCCTCTCCGAGCTGCCAGGAATTGACCCGGACGCTGTGCCGAGCGGCCCAGAGCCCAGGGGAGTCAAGCTCACAGGCTCCAGCCCTGGCAGCAGGCCCAGGGCTGAGGGCACTGGTGTGGGAGCATTTTAATGTGTTTTAAATACATAATCTAAGATTAGATGCTCATTCACATGACCTTTGTCCGTTCTTGCCTCGAGCCCTGCAGTGGGAGTTAATAAGTATTGGAGGAAATGGCAGCCAAGCGGAGCTTTGTACCAGGGGAGGTGGGGTCCTGTTTGCCCTCCGCTAATGGCACCCCATTTCCCTCCCACAGTCCTAGTCTATATGCTTAGTCACCACCAACTCCCCTAATGCCAGTGATGGTCTGGCGACATCCCCTGAAGCCAGAGCTGTTTCTTGCAGCAGCTTGTCTCAAGGATGGGCCAGGGCCTGGGGCCACACCCTGCGCGCTTTCAGAAAAATGCCCTGCAGTGATTCTCAAACGCTGGTCCCGGCCAGCAGCACCTGCGTCCCCCAAGACTTGTTGGAAATGCACATTTCCAGGCCCTGAGCCCTCCAGCATCAGCAGCACTGGGCGGGGACGGGGGCTGGGGGAAGGCAGCTGCTGCCTCACAAGCCCACCAGAAGATTCTGGCGTGGCCACTGTAATTTTGGTGAAGATGTTCGAAGGGTGGGAGCTGGGAGGCAGGGAAGACAGCTGCTAGAGAGACAGGACTTGAGCTCCCGCCCAGCCCCATGGGACCAGCTGGGTATCCCCCTGGGCCTGGGCCTCGCCTGGAGCCAGCATGGCAGCACATCCTTCCTCGCAGCTCAGCCGATGTGCACCCAGGCGAGCACTCTCACGTCTGAGTGCCTCCTCAAGGCCGCCTGTCAACCGCCCGCCCAGCAGTGATCCGGGGCATCCGGAGCAGCTGCGGGGGTCTGCGGCCTCTCCCGCTGAGTGGGAACTCGGAGTAATTTAAAATATGCCGGCGCCCCAGCTTCCTGGCAGCAAGGGGCCGAAATGACGTCGATGACAGTGCCCAACAGGCTTGCATCTGAGCACCAAGACATGTGGTGATTACAAAAGGCACACAGTAACAGACGACAGACATGGGAACTGTTACCGGCCTTGCTTACCTGCTTCAGTCATCAGTTCCACCGGAGGCTGCAGTCACGGCATCAAGAGAAGGCGGGGCCTCGGGAGGGCAGCCCCTGGAGGGTGAGGAGACCCCCAGGGCAAAGGTGTCCCTGGGGACCAAGGCCCTGACCACCACGCCTTGTAGCCCACCACCGTGTCAGACGTAACCGTGGGGCGGGAGGAGGTGACAGAAGCACGTGGCTTCGTTTGACAGGTGGTGGAGGCAGGCCCTCTGCAGACCCTGGACCAGGAAGATGAAACATCGGTGGAGTTGAGTGACATGACTGGGGTGTCCTGCTTGGGGCGCAGGAGAAGGGAGAAGGCAGGCTCTGAGCTGGGAAGAGCCACCCGAGAAGGGGAAGCCATCGGGAGGCGGCCTCCACGAAGCCCCCCAGGCCGATCGCAGAGCGAGCGGCTGCTGGGCTGCTCTCCGGCGCCGCTCAGTGGTCGCCTGGGCTCAGAGCCCACAACGCACAACTAAGTGCAAAACTATGTGAGCGATGTTCGTTTTCCTGGAGGGACCACGGAGAGCCCCCACAGACCATCGCCGACGTGGGCCTCTGTCCCCCCACCCCTACCCTGGCCCATGACCCTGAGATGGCACGGACTCCCTGGCAGCCCAGTCCACGCAGGGGCAGGCGGGCCTCTGCAGCTGCCTCCCTCACACCACCCTACTGACCCCACTGCACGTTCCTGCGGTAGTTCTTAGCCCGTCTGTGAATGGAAAGGCTGAGGCAGGAAGTGACATGGCTGCCCAAGGGAGAAAGGGGAGCTGGGGTTTGAACCCAGGAATCTGTGATCACTGCAGTCACATGTCAAACGGGCAGGATGCGGTAGGTCACAGGGGAAAGGAGGCTGAGAGCCATGGGTAGTGACACTTGAAATGAACCACGAAACACAATATTAAACAATATTTAAATAAGAGTAAACCTCCAGAGAAATGCCCTGGTGCCTGGTGGCCGGCGCTCCTCCGAGGCCCACGCCCTGCAGGCTGTAGCCCTGCGAGCTCCCACCAGGCCCCCGCGGCACAGGCAGGTCTGAGGCTCTGCACCCACCTGCTCCCCACTCAGCCGAGGGAGGGGCCGGCGGGAGGCCCTGCTCCTGCAGCTCCCAGGCGGTTTCCGGGAGCTGCCCACCACACGACACGCCCAGCACCCAGCAGGCGGGACCAGTTCCTGTCGGGAGACAGAGCCTCCAGGACGGAGCCCCGCCTTCTTCCCAGCCGCCGCCAGGCCACCCCAGAGCAGGGCGAGGAGAAAGATGCCCCAGCAGGACACGGAATTAAGCGCCATTTATTCTAGGGCAAACTCAAAAGGGTTCTTTTATTTTTTATTTTTTAGCAAATCCTACATTATTAACAAAAGAGTCTGTACATTTGCATGATACACTAGAGAGTGAAACGTGAAAAAGCCCCCCCAAATAAAACCAAAAAACAGAAACCCAACCGGGGGGTGTGGGACCATGCGTGCACACAGCGCTGACCGAACATTTGGTGGCCGGTATCTTTTAGAGCATTTTCTTTTCACTTCCAAACGTCACTGCCAGCAAAGTCCTGCGGGTTCTACAAAGTTCCTGCTTGCTGTTCTTTGATGTGTGTTATGTTTGATAAATAAAGGGCGGCAGGGAGAGAAGATGAGGAAACCCCGCTGCATCAGCTGCAGGGGGTGTTGGAAGCGAGTGCTGGGCCAGAGCGGAGTGTCCTTGAGGAGCCGCCTCGCTGGCAGAAAGCGGGGCCTGGCAGGTTCAGTGAGAACGCTTCAGAACTGCGCGGCTTAAGCAAACGCTGGGGGTGCAGGGGCAGGAGGGACAGACGACAGCGCCGAGTCAGAAAGACCAAGACCCAGGCCCGAGAGGAGCCCCTGGAGAAGCTTCCGCAGGCCCGGGAGCCGCGGGCAGCCGGGCGGCACCGGGCACTGCGCGGACACTGGCGCGAGGGCGGCAGCCTTTGGCCAGGCACAGAAGCAACACCCGGGGTCCGCCAGAGGCCCCCCTCAGCTGTCCCTCCATCCCGCCCCGTGATCCACTTCTCAGCAGGTCTCAACATACAACTTAAAGAGGCACAGCTGACCCTTTCATGGCGTCGGCTGGGGTGGGGGGGGAGGGAACCTGCCCTACACAGCCACGTCCAGGACGCAGGACGCTAAGATGAAAGAGAAACACAGGCCGCCACACCCGCTCATCAGAGCACTCCCTCCCCGTCGTGTGTGGGGGGGAGGGGTGGAGGGCGCCCCCCACGCTGCCCCGCGTGCCCTCAGCGCTGGACACTGCATGGCTCTTTCACTCCTGCTGTTGTGAGGACGCAAAACAGGCCTTGCTCCTTTACATTCAATGCCAGTAAGATTCTACACGAAAGCTGGAAGGGACCAAATACTGATTGTAATAAATATGTGTGGCCTCCTCGCCCTGACGGGAGCCTACGAGGGGCGGGAAGGTCTGAGAGGCACCGCGGCTGCTCTGCGGCTCGGACGGCACCGCCATTAGCTGTGCGTGGAGACGTCGGAGGAGGAGCTGCTGTTGCTGTTCGTGGTCTGCGCCCTCTTGATGTACAAGTTCAGCAGCTTCATCTGCAGGGACAGAGGCTGGGTTAGCAGGAGGCAAGGCAGGCGGGAATGGAAAACAGGAAAAAACCGGCGCCCGTTCACTGAGGGACTCATTACACAAACAGTTACTGAGTGTCGATGCCTCATTCCACGCCTGCCTGGGCCAGAGACCCGGAGGAGAGAATGCAATGGGCTACTACAAAGCAGGGCCCCTTGGACAAGGCACACGCAGGACAGACCCCCCACCTGACGGCGCCTGCAGCCAGCAGCTCCGTCCGCGCTGGCGGGAAGCAGGGCAGAGCCCAGGCGCCACAGGGATAAGGTAGCTCAGCCACGGTGAGGGGGCGTCACACCTCCTCTCCCCCCACTTCAGCCAGAGCCCACGCAGCACTGCGCATCGCAGACCCCGCCCGGCCGCCTCCACGCGGGCTCTCCCAGCTGCTCACTTGGAGGCAGTCCTGTCTCCCTTGCTGCTCCGTGGCACTTTATCCCGTGGCACATGCCGCCTCCTGCTACAGGTAGCAGTGGACTCCCCGCTGCTTCCAGCAAACAGACCTCCCCGACACCAGACACCGCGTCACACAGCAGCCCCTCCCACGGGCTGCTCTCCAAGGGCCCCTGGAGAGGGGCTGGGTGAGCTGTGTGGTGCGCCAGAGGAAGGGCCCTCTGACCACCAGGAGGAAGAGGCACAGTAGCCACAGAGCTCCCAGCAGGGGCGCCACCTCCCTGCCTGCCCCGCCCCAGGTGCTCTCCGCCATAAGCACTCGAGACTGAAACCCCTGTGGTGGGCTCTCCACACAGGGCGTCTGGGCGGGCATCCTGGAGCTGCCTTTGCCCACGTCCATGCCTGCCTTGCTTTCCTCTTTCCCCCGGCAGCGGCTAGGCCAGTGGTTCTCAACCCTGGCGGCACATTAGAATCACCTGGGACTCTTTTTAAAATCCTGATTTCTGGGCCTCATCTTCCAGAAATTCTGTTTCTTTGTTATGGGGTGAGGCCACATTAGTAACAACAACCAAGGATACTCCACCCAGCAAAGCTCACATTTAGAAATGAAGGTCAGATAAAGAGCTTAATGACAAGAAAAAGCTAAAGGAGTTCATCCCCACCAATAAGTATTACATGAAATGTAGAAGGGTATTCTTTAAGAGGAAGGAGAAGAAAGAAAAAAGATAAAAAATATGAACAATAAAATGGCAATAAACACATATCTATCAACAAGTGTATCTACAAATCAAAATAAATACTACCCAAAGCAATCTATAGATTCAATGCAATCCCCATTAAATTACCAACGGCATATTTCATAAATCTAGAACGAACGCTCCAAAAATTCACCTGGAATATAAAAAAAGACCCCGAATAGCTGCAGCAATCCTGAGAAAGAAGAACAAAGTAGGTGGGATCTCAATACCAGATATCAAACTG